CCCCAAAACCCCAAAACCCCAAAACCCCAAAACCCCGAAAGTATAATATAAAATTGAATTCATAATATTTGAAATTAGGCAACAATGCACAGCAGGTCAGGTAGGCAAAAGAAGGAAAAATGGTGATAGTGGGTATAGATAAGAAGAACTTCTTCCTTGGAAAGATTGGCTCCTTTGATTATGACACCAGAAGTATCACAAAATCAAAAGCATCTAATCTTAGTTTGGATCCTGGAACTATCTGCAAAAGTTTGATAAAAATAGGTAAACAACCATTTTAAACCAGCCTGGAGTGTCAGGCATGATTGTAAGCTTACCCCTTCATGCCTTAGGGATTACCAAAATTACTTATTTTTATATAGGGCTTGATAATAAGATGAATTCCACTAAATAACAGCACTTCTCATCGAGTGAATGCCAAATTAAATACAAATCACATATCTTCTTCTAAGAAGAAAAAGAAGGGGCTTAGCAAGAAAGGCACTACTGAGAAGAGATCATCCAAGAATCTTACAAAGACTTCTAAAATGGTCAGTAAATTAAATTCCACAATTCAGAACTTGCACTGTGCAAAGGTAAATCCTTTGTCTCATTTATCAGGTTAAGCCATGAGGAAAATCAAGTAACAAAAATTTCTCAGTCTTTAAGAAATACCTAAACCCTGGACTAAAATCCCAGTACATCTCTCCGAGTAGTAACAAGAGCTCGATTCTGAAGTCCATAAATCTGCAAGGATTTGAGAAAAAGAAGGTCAAGGGTTCTTCCAGGCCCAAATAAAATAATTAATTACACAACTATTAGGAAACAAGTGCCTAGCTTTGAGAGAAGTGCTGACAGCATTGGCTCGACCATTAAGATCCTGAAGTACCCCAAGGGCTCGAAGGAGAGCTCTATTTCATCTAAGAGTGGCTCTGTGATAAAATACAGTAACTTAAGTAACAGCACGATGAAGAATCTGACATGTAAATCTATATCGATAAACCAAGGGAAATCTCTTAATAACTCTAAAGTGATACGGTTCAACAGGTATAATAAAGATAGCAGGAAGAAATCCAAGCAATCTAAGAAGGAAGATGTATCCAAATGCGAGATTGACTTGTCAAAGAACATGCCAAAGGTCAGTGCGAGGAGAAAGAGAGCTGGCTCTAAGAAGGAATCCAAAGCTACTCTAGAAGAAAGTAAGAGTACGATACAGACAATGAGATCTCCTTCGAATAAGATTACTAGCAGAGATACAGACAAAACTTTCCCATTGACTCCTGGAAGAGCTCTTAAGATGTACATGGACAAGGGTCTTACAAAATATGAGCAATCTGAGATTTTGGAGTTCAAAGAAATTTATTTTGTAGGGACCACTGAGAAGAAGATTCAGGGTACTGGTGATCCTAATAATAATTACGGCTACGATGATGACAGAGGGGATTACAAAACTGTTGAGAACGATCATATCAACTACAGATATGAAATATTATCCACCCTTGGACAAGGCAGTTTTGGAAAAGTCTATAAAGCTTTTGATCACAAAGACAAGAAGTTGATCGCCATCAAGATCATCAGAAATAAAAAGAAGTTTGAATTCCAAGCAAATGTTGAGATAAAGGTTTTAAGAGACATCAAGAAGCACGACTCGAAGGATAAAAGCAATATTATCAAAATAATAGATGATTTCAAATTTAGAAGCCACATTTGCTTAACGTTTGATCTTTACTCTATTAATCTCTATGAACTTATCAGATCAAATGACCACAAAGGGTTTCCAATTGATATAGTTAGGAGGATTGCGATTCAGATCCTTCAAGGGCTCCAGTTTATGAAGAAAAGAGAAATTTGTCATTGAGATCTCAAGCCTGAAAATGTTCTACTAAAGAAGAATAACAAAACAGGCATTTAAAATCATTGATCTTGGCAGTAGTTGCTTTGTAAAAGACCAAGTGTATACTTATATCCAAAGCAGGTTCTATCGTGCTCCTGAAATCATGCTTGGCATTCCATACACGACTGCAATTGACATGTGGAGTTTTGCCTGCATCTGTGTAGAACTATACACTGGCTTTCCTTTGTTCCCAGGAGAATCAGAGGAAGAGCAGTTCTCTCTCATAATGGAATACAAGGGTATTCCTCCAATAAATCTTCTACAGAATTCCACTAGGAGAGATATTTTCTTTGACGAGGAGTTAAATCCTCGGAAAGTCAAAGATTCTATCGAGGACATAATTGAAATCAACTCAAAAGCACTCTCAGAGTTGCTTTATATGGGAGTGCCTGAAGAAGAGAAGGAAATCGTCACCCCATTCATTAAATTTATCGATGCCTGACTTCATTGGGACCCGAACCTGAGATTAACTCCTAATGAGGCTTTAAGGCATGAATGGATCAGCTCTATTTTTGATGAAAAGTAATCCCTTAATTATTTATAATTGTTTCTATGCTGGATAATTTTCTCGGGGTTTTGGGGTTTTGGGGTTTTGGGGTTTTGGGG